CAACCTACTCCTCCGCCTCTTCCTTCTCCTCCTCCTCGTCTTCCTCTTCCTCCTCCTCCTCATCCTCATCCTCATCATCATCATCATCCTCATCCTCCTCCCCCTCCTCCTCCACCTCCTCATCATCATCCACCTCCTCCTCCTCAACCTACTCCTCCGCCTCGTCCTCATCATCCTCCTCCTCCTCCGCCTCCTCCTCCTCCTTCTCTTTTTCCTCCTCCTCATCCTCCTCCTCATCCTACTCGGCTTCATCATCATCCTCCTTCTCCTCCTTCTCCTTGTCCTCATCCTCATCCTATTCGTCCTCCTCCTCCTCCTCCTCCTCCTCCTCCTCCTCCTCCTCCTCCTCCTCCTCCTCCTCCTCCTCCTCCTCGCATCCTCCTCCTCCTCCTCCTCCTCCTCCTCCTCCTCCTCCTCCTCCTCATCATCCTCCTCCTCCTCCTCCTCCTCCTCTTCCTCCTCCCCCTCCTCCCCTCCCCCTCCTCCTCCTCCTCCTCCTCCTCCTCTCCTCTCCTCCTCCTCCTCCTCCTCCTCCTCCCACTCCTCCTCGTCCTCATCCTCCTCCTCCTCCTCCTCCTCCTCATCCTCCTCCTCCTCCTCCTCCTCCTCTTCCCTCCTCCTCCTCCTCCACCTCCTCCTCCTCCTCCTGCTCCTGCCCTCCTCCTCCTCTCCTCCTTCTCCTCCTCTCATCCTCCTCCTCCTCCTCCTCCTCCTCCTCCTCCTCCTCATCATCATCATCATCATCAGCAGCATCATCATCATCATCATCATCCTCATCCTCATCATCATCATCATCATCATCATCATCATCATCATCATCATCATCATCAGCAGCAGCATCCTCATCATCATCCTCATCCTCATCCTCATCCTTCTCTTCCTCCTCCTCCTCCTCGTCTTCATCTTCATCCTCCTCCTTCTCCTCCTCCTCCTTGTCCTTATCCTCATCGTACTCGTCCTTCTCCCCTATTATGTTATTGCCTCCTGGGGCCTTCCAGGGCTCCTTGCCCTCCCTTTTGCGGGCCTCCGATGATTGCAAATATGTTCGAAAGCCCGTCATGTTCTACACGGCCGCCCCGAATGTTTTGGAAATGATCGAACCGTCTTGCAAGAGTCGTCCATCATCCACCCTTTTCATCAACCTCCTCCCCGCTCCCCACCCCCCACCCCCACCCCCCCAAAAAAGAAGCACACACCCTCCTCCCACTCCCCATCCTCCTTATGATCCTCTTCCTCCCCTCCTCCTCCTCCTCTCCTCCTCCTCCTCCTTCTTCTTCTCCCCCCTCTTCCTCCTCATCCTCCTCCTCTTCCCTCCTCCTCCTCCTCCTCCTCCTCCTCCTCCTCTTCGTCCTCCTCCTCCTCCTCCTCCTTCTCCTCCTCCTCCTCCGCCTCCTCCGCCTCCTCCTCTCCTCCTCCTCCTCCTCCCCCCTCCTCCTTCCGCCTCCTACTCATCCTCTCCTCCTCTCCTCTGCCTCTTCCTATTCCCCCTTCCCTTTCCTCTTCCTCCTACTCCTCCTCCTCCTCCTCCTCCTCCTCCTCCTCCTCCTCCTCCTCCTCCTCCTCCTTCCTCCTCCTCCTCCTCCTCCTCATCCTCCTCCTCCTCCTCCTCCTCCTCCTCCTCCTGCTCTTCCTCCTCCTCGGCCTCCTCCTCCGCCTCCTTCTCCTCCTCCTCCTCCTCCTCCTCCTCTTCCTCCTTCTAATCCGCATCATGTTCCCAAAATTGGCGGGATGGAGATTGGCGAGAACACGATTCCGAGTGCCCCCTGAGTCAACAACGGCTCCCATGCATTAGGCAAAAGCACGCCTTTTTGTGAGAGGCGCGAGCGCTGCTTTTACATGAGTGATGACATTGGAGAGCGTCTAGAACCACAGTTCTATTCATGAAGACATCGCGAGGATGTCTGAGGCGGGAGCTGCTGCTGTGGCAGCCGGGTGCCCAGACAGCTCGAGCCTCAGCGCCCTTCCCGGGCAAGACAGGGTGCGGACACCAAGGGGGGGGACACTTCGATTGGAAATGCACACTGGGCACAGGTGGCGGGATCAACGACATGGTCAAGAATTTGCGCCTGTCGTGTCGCGGCGCCGGTTCTGGCCCGCCACGCCTCGGCGCGACACGGTGACCACGCCCCAGTGCCCGAGCGTCGACGTCGACGTCCCGAGGCTTTCCCAGCCCCCCGCCACGCGGAGCGGAGCGGCACGTTGTTCGCCTGCAAGGCTACACCTTAGGCGATGCTTTAGAAAACTTAAGTTTTCGGCCAGAGTCTCGATGATTCTTAACGTTTCAAGGTAAATCTTAAGATTTTAATAGAAATGTTTGGTTTTTATTCAAGTTCTGAGACTATGAATTTCTTAACCCATGATTTCTTAAGCATTTCGCAGGGTGAACATCGATTCGCCGGGGCCGCCGCCGTGGCACGCTGACCAGCACTTCCCGACGGCAGTCAGCCCTCGGAGCTGCGAGCTCCACCAGACAAGAAGCAGCCAAAAACGCTCCTACCAGACGACGAGCTGCTGGAGTGGCGGAGGCAGTTCGACGAGTTGGCGGACGGGGGCGGCGAGCCAGGAGCGCGAAGTTGAGCCTCGCCTCCTCGATCCTCGTCGTCTCGGGCGTCGTCATCGTCGTCGGCCTCGTCGTCGGCCTCCTCGTCGTCTTCGTCGTAGCCCCCTTGTCATGTTCAGCCTCGTTGTCGTGAACCTCTTCGTCGTCGTCGGCCTCGCCGTCGCAAGCTTTGTCGTCGTTGCCCTTTTCGTCGGCCTCGTCGTTCGGGTGGGAGGAGGAAGAGGACGAGGGACAGCAGCAACAGCAGGAGAAAGAAATGGAGGAGGGGGGGAGGGAGGAGAGGGAAGATGAGGCGGGGAGGGTGAGTTGTTTCACCCAGCGGCCAGAGGCCGATGCCACCATCGTGCCAGGACTGTGGGCCAAGGCGCAGCGGGGACGACGGAAGGCCAGGTCGTATTTCCAGCCATGCCCCTCGAGATCTCTTTTGCGAGAGGCCTTGGGAACACTCTGCGTGCTCTGGATGTTTTCCTGGAGAGCTCCGAGGGAGGACTCCCAGGAACCTGGCTGATCACAGCGCGCCCTCATGGGACGTGGGCACCCTGCAGCGACGAGGCTGGCGCACCGCTCCGACCTCAGAGTGCGGCCAGCGACGAGGCGAGAGCGGCGGAGCGGTGGGCTCGGAGCGCTGCCTGCGATGCAGAACGCGCCCCGTCGTGCACCGAGACTCGCGAGGCACGGGCCGTCGAGAGCGCATCACGACTAGCGCTGCTCGCGAACCGCAGCGCTCCAGACCGGGCGACTCGCCTCTGGCGCGCCTCGCCCTCGGCGGAAGGCCCGCGGCAGCAACGTGGCGGCCGGGCCACCCGCGGAAGCCGGCGGGGCACCAGCGATACCGAGACGTCACGATTTCCGGTGACACGTAGCCCAGACCCCCGACGTCATGATTTGTTCATGGCGCGACCCCCGGAGGTCTGGACCCCTCCCCCGGGACCGGTTTCTCATCCCGCGTCGTGTTTTGACGGCCCCGAGGGCCGGTGAGGCCCCCCAGATGCCGAAAATGGCCCAAAACTTCCCCTCGTGATTTGTTCACGACCCGAGGGGGGCTGGGAAGTGTGATCTTTCGCCGGGGTGGCCTTTGGTGCGGGCCGCAGGGGTCCCGCCAGCACTGGCTGGCGCGCCCGGGGCTGCGCGGATATTTGGCCTCCGCCGCGGCCCCCGAAGGCCGCGCGCCACCGGGTCACTCTTGCCTGGGGCCGCTCCCACGTGCAGCCGATATTCGGGACTCACGGCTCCCGGATCGGCGACTTGCGTTAAGTCGGGCTTGTTGTCTCCCTACAGGAGGCATGTTCAAAAATAGTCAAGTGGGAGCGCATTGTTGAGTACTCGTGTTGCTATTTGGGGGTATGTTCTGAGTATCTTTAACTTTTGCGTCGAACATCCGCCTGTATATAGGGGGACACACCCGACCTAAGCCGAAGGGCGAAAGTTGGCGAAAGCCTCGAGCGGTGGGCCAGCCCGCAGCCGCTCGAGGCCCACGGGGGCAGCCTCTCCGAGCGGGCGCGCGCCCTGCGGGCCCAGGCCCCCGATGCAGTGAGGTTTTTATCTCGTGACGCGGCCCCCCGGAGGTCTGGACCCGTTCCCCGGTCAGGCGATCGCAAACATGGATCAAGGGGGCGTGGATGAGCGACGGGTCCCGTTTCCATGAGAAATCGCGGATTTCCGCCGCCGAGCGGGGCGGCACCGGCCGTATTTGAGGGAGGGCACCTTCCCCGATCCGTGGATTTGGCTACAGCGCGCCAAATCCATGGATTTGCGCGCCCCCGACGCGGGACTGGTCTTGCCTCCTGATTCGTTGCTTGACGCCGCCGAGACCCCTGTTCGGGCCCCCAGAGGCCGAAAAGAGCGGAAGACCTCCCGTTGTTTGACGCTGCCGAGGGCCTGGTTCGGGCCCCCAGAGTCCGGGGAGCGTAAGACCCGGGTTTGCCGGGACTCGGGTTCGCCATCGTTTTTTGACGACCGCGACTCGGATTTTGACGAGGAGGAGTTTTGTGGGATGTTTGCAGCGGGAGGCCTCGTCAAAATGCAGGCTCGGCCTCGTCATTTTTTTTGACGACCTCGTCGGGGATTTCCGAGTCCCCCGTACCCGGGTCTTAAGTCTCCCCCCCAGAGGCCGAAAAAATAGCAGAAAATGTCCCGTCGTGCTTTTTTTCATGGCTCGAGAGGGTCTGGGGGCACTGTGCTTGGCGGCGCGCACGAGGGCTGGGGGGACGGGGGATGGCGAGGCTGCGTCTCAGAAGGCGCCGGCCTCACATCTATAGATAAGGCCCGCGCCTTCTAAGAAGCAGGGGTGCTTCTCAGAAGCCCTCCCCCCTCCCCCCAACCCCCTGTGCGCGTGGCTGACGTGCGGCCGAGGCCCACCAGGGCTCGCGCTGGGGCTCCCTGCGGGGGGCGCGAGCGCAAGAGCGAGGCGCGCGCCATCGAGAGCGGCAACCGGCCACGCGCAGAGAGGGGCAGGGTGAAGTCGGGCTTGTCCCTCCACAGGAGGAAGATTCAAGAATAGTCAAAAAGTAGTCTGGGGACAATTGTTCGACTTTTATCTACATATATATATATATATAGAGAGAGAGATTCGAATATTGTTTGACTATGTTTCGCTTTTCTTCCAGAATCCGCCTGTAGGAGGACATGCCCGACCTGAGGGCAGGGGGAGGGGGGAAGCTTCTCAGACGGAGGCTGCCTCTTGGAAGGCGCCGACCCTGCATCTACAGGCGAGGCTGGCGCATTCTAAGAAGCCTTCTCCCCGCCCCCATACCCCTTGCGAGCGCTGCCAAAGCAACCGGTTGACTCTGCTCCTTGCGTTCGAAGAAGAAGAAGCGCATAAGCATAATTTGTCGGAGCTCCGTGTGGATTTCTCGGGTCGGCGCTGGGCCCCCGTGGCGGTGCTCCAGCGCCGCCCCCGACGCGCCCCTCGCGCCAGGGAGGGGGGCCCAGCGCCAATCCAAGAAATCTGCGCGGACCTTCAAAAGTTCATGCTCATGCTTCTCTGCTCTTATTCCATGTCTGCGAGCCCAGATCCCCAGGGCTGGACCAGCGCACAGCTAACGGTCTCAGCGACACGCGAGATGGGATGGCCCATTCTGGGCCCGCGCTCAGGAGGAGCAGGGGCGAGTCCTTATTTGGTAAACACTTGCTGGCTCAACGAAGGCGAGAGCCCCCCTGAATGCACAGATGGGAAAGATCAGATTAGCATTTGAACAATTGAACGTGCGAAGGAGCATAGAAGTCGACGGGGGCGGCATGAGGGCATCCGAGATCGTTGGCGGCGGCGTTTTTCGGTTATTCGTGCCGTGTCGTGGACGCGGGTCCCCATCACAGCGCCGGATAATGCAGTTGTGTGTCCAACAATATTTGGTTGGTTGTCTCTCTAAGCATTGCTCCTCCGGTTTTTACTATTTCTTACCTCTCGTCCACAGTTCGCTGTGAATACAAACACGCGCCGCAAGCCACTATCTCCCTGGAGGGTTTCAAGCGCATGTGTGCGCGGAAGTACGGCGGCATAGTCAAGGATTTCGTTTTGTCGCACATGGTGTCAAGCAAGTTGCGCCTTGCGCCCATTGTCAGGAATATAGCAGCGCACCATCTCATATCGCATGAGCGCTATGTCGTGGCAGTGGCATATTGTTTTTACATGTCAGCGCCGTTATAGTTAGTATGTGGCTGTTGTACAAAGTTCCTCAGTGTTGCTTGTTGCGGTGTGCGTAGCAGTTGTTCAGTATTGCCTTGGACAACCATGTGTAATATGCCCACGATCAGTTCGATCGCGTCCGCGCCGCTTCTACCATGGCATCAGTGCTGATTCAGGATTGCAGCAGATCCTCACCCCCGCATTCCAGCTCCTCTGCAGATACCTGTCCAACGAAACGTAGCACAGTTCACTCTTACACCACATATCGTTGTCTCTTCATACTAGCCCCACTGCGCCTACGTCGAACTTGCCTCGCATCGTGCCCGCACCATAAACAAAAAAACACGGCTGCCATAGCAGATCGTGTCAATTGCGTGGTTTGTTGGGCCAGTTTCAACAAATTTCAGGGCTGCCCAATAACATTGATATGTCCACCCAGCCGCCTTGTGAGAAGCGTTCAGCTTGTGAGTCTAGAAGCCCCCGGAGACATCCGTGACTGGTTGAAGGTGTGCCCCTAAGTGTGTGATTCGAGTGTACTCTGCGGCGTGGCCGTGGCTTCATCTCTTGCTCCCTGCTGATGAGCCGACGGCGACACAGTTGCAACGTGGTTGTCTCGCACCAGGCCAAGCACCACCGACCGCCAAGTCATCGTAAAGGAGGAGGAGAATTAAAAGGAGGGTACAAATGCAACATGTATGTGTTAATAAAGGTTTGTCCCGCAGCGCGATATTTCCTGGGCACCCAGGAGTATTCACATTGCAAGCTTGCGAACAACGCTTCCGTACATGCATTGATGGGTCAAGTGATGGGTTATTTTTGGTTGTCACATTCACCACCAAGGCGTGGCACATTCATTATGAGATAGAGAATGGCGTTCAGCAAGTCTTCTCTGTCAATTAAGATGGTTGTTGCACGCAGCTTGTTCACAATATCGCAACGTGCGCGCACCATGGCATGCGCCCATGTACCGAAAGATGTGTGGTTCTTCGTGTGAACCGCATTCAACGTCGCAAACCCAAAGCCGAGGCATGGCAGGTAAACACGCAAAGGCGCGTGCCTAGATACAGGGAGAGCGCGTGAGAAAGAGATCTAGGGAGGGTGGGAGACGGTGTGATCGATAATCACCACAGCTAGTGCGCGCCTTGCCGCTGATCCACCCTGACATCAGACGTCGCGAGGACCGTGCCGTGTAAAATGCTACTGGAGCTCCCGATCCCATCTGTCATGGCGCCAACATCGCAGAGCGGATTTCGTTCGGAAAACGGCACGATGAGCCCGGAGTGTCCTGGAGAATTTCGTTCCGGATTTCGAAGTGAATTTCGTGCATGTTTTTGGGGGGCCAGGAATGAAGACCAAAATCAATCCACGCGAAGTTCATTTTGTTTGTCGCTCGCCGTTTCGGGCAAAAGTCCACGCAGACATCTATGCAGAAATCCGCTGCAGCACGTCTGCAAGGCCGGCGCAATGACATCTGTTATGCCGGACGTCTCGAGCTGGGTTGATGCGCAAGGGTCCCAGGGCCCGAAGCTGGGCGAAGCGCGTTCCCGCGTGCTTGTTCTTGGCGTTCGGATGGCGGGGCAGATCGGTATCGTTTCACCGATCCCCATCCCCATCCCCATCCCCTTCGAGACCCCTACCAAATTACCACCCCAGTTTGGGATACACCCCTCGGAACCCGAAGGGAACGACCTGTATCCCCTTCTAGGGGGGTAAGTCGGCCAGTGGGGGCCAGGCCACGCCGCTGGGGATGGGGGTCGGTTAAACGATACTCAGCAGAGACGTGCTTGCGGGAGGACGACGAGCTTGCCCGCAAAGTCGAGTTCTTCTGGAAGAAGTTCGACAGGGACGGCAACAGGCGGCCTCCGAGGATGGGCACAGCTTGCAAGGCAGCTGGGTACACACGACGAGGCCGGCCTCGGCGAGGGTTGGACGCACATGTGGCCAGATGCTTTTCCTGCGCGCAGCCCTTCTATGGTCGCGCAGGCCTGACTTCCGCGTGTGTGTCCAGCGCTTGGCCTCTGCATGTCCCACGTGTGAATGCAGCCGTGCCTGTTTCCAGCCTCTTGTTTTTGGAGGAAGAATCACGGCATAAACATACATTTTCGGAGGTCCGCGCGGACATCTTGGATCGGAGCTGGGCCGATCCCAGAATTCCAAGAAACCCGATCCAAAAAGCCGATCTGGGCCCAGCGCCGATTCAAGAGATCCGCGCGGAGCTGCGACAGTTCATGTGCATGTGTATGCCGTTGTTCGCCCTTCGATGACAGAGGCTCGGGCAGGGCCGGGAAGGGGACAAATCCGTTCCAGCGCGTTCCGGCACGCTCTCAGAGCGTTCTGGAACGCTCTGAGAAGGCCGCAATTTATCCTCACCCGATTCTGCCTTCGTCCGGGCTCCGTCTCAGGGGGCACCCGCAGGTCGGGCGCGCTCGGTGCTGCCAGGTGGGGCGACGGCTGGACGCACGTGCGGCCGCCCGCCCTCTGCAGGCGCTTCGGCCCTCGCAGCGCCGGGCGCGCAAGGCCCTGCGGCGTGTGCGCTCGCAGGGGCAGAGTCGTCTCCGGCCGACCACGTCGCCGACGCCGACGCCGCCGCCGACGACGACGACGCCGACGACGACGACGATGCTGACGACTCAGCACGCAGGCCTGTGCTGGGCCGCTTCTGCTCGGGAGCCTTGAGGCAGGGGTCAGTGCAAACGGGGGTCAGCCAGAGTGGCGGGTATTGCAAGGCCTGACTGACCTCCGTTTTCACTGACCCGGGTCAGTGCGTCCCCGAGCAGGGGGTACAGTCAAGACGTTGAAATAAGGACCGCTTTGCTCTCAGAGGGGCAACGGTTTTCAGACCATTCCTTAGTTCTACGTCGTGGAACTTGTTTGTGGCCTAGGCCCGCCGTGGCCAGAAAAGGCCTTTCGTTCCTTTCAATGCGTTCCTTATGGCAGCACCATGACTGCACTTGAATAGCAGCGAGGTTGCTGAGTGGATAGGGGGTGATCAGTGGATGCCAAGCTGGGTCCTACATGGCCCAACATAGCTCGTAAGTGGGTCAGAAGTGCCCTGAGTGGCTCAGGGGGGGTAAAGGTCCGGGCTAAGTGGGCTCCGCCCAGCTGGCGGAGTCAGCGGATCCGCCTACGTCACTCTGGGCACTCGCAACCCACTTACGAGTTAGGCCACGCCAGGTAGAACCTACCACAGCATCCACTTACGAAGCCCCCGCCCACGTAGCGACCACCGCGGCGATCCAGGCAGAGTTGCCTGCGGCGGCACGCGCACCCGACCCGGAGGCAGGCGCCGCCGCTCGTGCAGCTCCAGAGCTGGCCACGGCACGCCACGCCCGCCCGTCCAGACCGAAGGGGGGCGGGCGGAACCCGGGACGTGGGCCCCCGGTTTTCTTGGCATCTGTACTGCCTCGGCACCGTGTCGGACGGCACTCATGAACACCACACGGGGCGGTTCTCCGGAGAACCCCCGGAGAACCCCCGGAGAACCCCCAGAGAACCCCCGGAGAAACCCCGGAGAACCCTGGAGAAACCCCGGAGAACCCAATTGAGAACCCCCGGAGAACCCCTGCTGGAGAACCCCCGGAGAACCCCCGGAGAACCCCCGGAGAGCACCCGGAGAACACCCGGAGAACACCCGGAGAACCCGGAGAACCCAGGAGAACCCAGGAGAACCCAGGAGAACCCCTGGAGGGCCCCCGGTTTTTTTGGCATGTGTGTTGCCTCGGAACCCTGTCGGACGGGGCCAGGGCGAGGATGAGTACGATCCCGAGCGCTCTGGAACGCTCGCAGAGCGTTCCAGAAAGCTCCGAGAAGGCCGCGGCGCCCGAGACTCGGGATCGAGAAAAGGACGCTCACGTACATGAATCCACGTCGGTTTCGAGAGTACGCATTGCGCGAGGGTTCGTATCACGCGGCTGGCCTCGCGGATCGAGGGGCCGTGTTCATGTACACGGTTGGGCGCGTACGTCCTTCTGTGGGCTCCTTAGAGACATCCTCCAGAGCCGCCGGATTCCAGAGATATTCGATTCATCCTCGCCTGAGTTGGTCCTCGTCGGGGTCGGGGCGGGTCGGCGCAGGTCGGGGCGGCTCGTCCGCGGCGGAGCGCGGGAGGGCGGGCCACTCTGGCGGCCCCCCCCGCGCGAGGGCGGCGGGGCCGCCGCCGGGGTTCCCGGGTTCCCGCGGGAGCCACCCCACCAGCAGTCCATTGGCCACCCCCCCGTCGCGACCGGCCCTGTCGCGACCCCCTCCGGTCCTGGCCTCGTCTTAATTAGGGGAGGTGTTCGGGCGCCGTCGTCGGAGCCTGGAGGTTCTCTCTCCTGCCTCGGGCGTGCGCGTCGGGGCAGCTGCGCCGCGCCGAGCGCGCTCCTGGGGGGCTTGGCCCGAGCCGTCCCGAGCTACGACCCGAAAGCCGAGGTGGGAACCCACGACGACGACGACGACGACGACGACGACGACGACGACGACGACGACGACGACGACGACGACGACGACGACGACGACTCGGCGGCGAGCGAGGGGGGGAAGTGAGAAGAAGAAGGCCTTCTTAGAAAGCGGCGGAACGTCTCAGAAGCCCTCGCGCCTTCTGAGAGGGTTGTTATGCCTTCGGGGAAGGCTCAGAAAACTTCTCAGAAGGCTCGGAAGGCTTCCGAGCCTTCTGAGAAGGCCCGCCCCTTCTCACTTCTCCCCTGGGCTCGCCGCCGAACAACGGCGGCGACGACGACGACGTCGTGAACGTCGCTCTGGCTCGATCCGATCGATCCGATTCAATATCGAATCCAGTTGGCCCGATCCGATTCGACTCTCGATCTTTTGACGCTACGGTGCGGCTTGGTGTTTGCATGACACGGTTGTGCACGTTGGCGCGGCAGATCCGATTCG